TAAAACAACTTGATAAAAATTAAGTCAGTGATAAAAAATTAACTACATTGTTATCGTAAGATTCTGAATCGACCGTTGGACTGTTTGTGCGATGCGATTCAAACGATGGCCCGTCTTATGTCGTGACCTTCGTGCCCTAACACGCTTGAGGATTTAGTGGCGGCTACTAGTGATGTGGTCGGCGTGGCTGAGTTCTGGGGCACAATAAATACAAATTCAAATTCAAAATAATCTTTATTTCATAGGTAAGCATTATTACACTTGAAATCGTCACAATATTAAACTCTACCGCTCACTCGTAAGGCAGATTCCCCTGAGAAGAATGAGCAAGAAACTCTAGGGGTTGCTCTTTGTAAATAACATTTACAATATTTTTTTTTTATTTGAAACATCAGAGATCGAGACTACCTCCATGAGCTAAACGGGTTACTACCACGGATTTTTGTCATCCAAGTACGCAGAAGTTGTATAATAACCTTTAGTATAAAGTTTTTGTTTCACTATAGTTTTAAACCTCGTGAAAGGCAAATTTTGTATATCAACCGGAATCTTGTTATAGAAGCGTATACATTGCCCCTTAAATGATTTTTTGACTTTATGAAGACGACTATCAAGAAAAGCTAGTTTATTTCTATTCCTCGTATTAATGTTATGTCTGTCACTATTTTTCATAAAGAAATTACTATTCCTATTAACATAAATTACATTTTCATAAATGTACTGTGAGGCTAGTGTAAGAATGTTAATTTCCTTAAACTTATCTCTCAAAGATACTTTGGGGCCCAGATTGTAAATTGCCCTTACTGCACGTTTCTACAGGACAAAGATTCTATTGATATCGGCGGCATTACCCCAAAGCAAATAGTATAGTATATGCCATCGATACGACAAAAAGAAGAATGATTTTATATACTGTTAAAAGATCATTACTCGTCTAAGTCATAGACTTACAAATAAGTCAATGGTCTAAGTACAAAAAAAAATGCAAAAAGAAAACTAAAACTTTTTGGTGCACGGGTCAATACTAGAATGAAAAATAAAAATACAAAAACAAAACACATCCGTTCTCCTAGGATTTTTGAAAAAGTATTTTGTTTTCTTTTCTGTCATTGAGACTGCGATCTATTTATTTTTTCACTGGCTTATATTTCACAGAATTTCAGTTGTGCTGTGAAATATAATTGACAAGCCTACGTTATGGCTTCCAAGAAAGATAAAGAATTCGGTCAAAAAGAAGATGATTCTAAACCCCGACAACGACAATACGCCTTTGATGATATTGCGGCTCTCAACAAAGGTGTCACACCAGCTATGGCAACTAAAGACGATTTTGTTCTTGCTTACAAAACAAGTAGTAACAAAGTGCAATATATATGCGACAAGAAAGATCTGTTGTTACCATGGGCTCAAATCTTGACTGCAAGACTGAAAGCCGCTGGCAGACTAGGTAGTATTTTAGAAACTGAAACGGTTCCAAAGGTAAAAAGTAACGTGCTATCTGCGAGTATGTCTGATGTAACTTATTTAACTGAAGAGTCTATAGAAGAATCTGGACTTGAAATTAGTGATGCGGTACCTCAAAAATCAGCAATAGACTACAATATTGATGTTTTAGAAAAACAGAAACTACAAACAACTTCTATACTTAAAAAATATGAAACTAATATAACCAAGCAGATTTATATTCCCGATGAGAGTATGAGCGGACTTAATGAACGGACTTCACTACTCGGTGAGAGTAAATTTGGTATGGAAACGGCGAGTTGTAGTAGAGGTGAAGTGGAAGGAGAAAATAGTTATAGCAGCATTACGAAAAACGATGAAGTTCGTACATTTGAATCAAATATAGAAGTATGTGCAGCTAACGTTGATATTAAAAAAATTAAATTCACCATGGATGACTTCCCTGATTCACACACTGTAGTATTTGCTGCTGATGAATTGGTTGCTGGTGATAAATTGGAAGAAAGACCTGCTTCAGAACGTGGATCTGTTATGTATGGTGCTGAAGATATTGAAGAAAAAGCAGGCGAGGATTTAGAACGTGCTGATGAAACACCTGACACTGCTCCGAAAGAACGTGTGAAACAGATTGCTCCAAAGCACTCTACATATGATCATTCAAAAACTAAGGGTTTAGTTACCGACACTAAAGTTATTCAGTGGGACAAGAACGAATTGGTTGACTACAGGGTAAGTACTTAAGGATCAACCTCATAAAGATCTAAAAAGCTGCACAAGCACTGTCACTGCGCACGTCATCCCGAGACAAAGTCAAGACAAGTCCCATGTACCTGTAATTTCACCAGCACCCTTTCCCTTCAAAACCGGAATATAGTAATGTTGACATTACTGCTTGGCGGCAGAAATGGGTAAGGTAGCTCTTCCACAAGGAGCTCTGCTGCTTCTACAAATATAATATAACATTATACAAGTAGTGAGTATAAATTTACTGGGGTTGAGTGAAATAAGCTGAAAGCAATTAAGGGTGAGGTATTCCAACGCAAGCTCTAATTTTTGGAGATGAGAGAGACCCCACCAGTCGACCAACCGCCTCTCGCAACCCCTAAACCGCGCGCTGTAAATTAATAATTAGTAAGCCTTTTGACCGCCACTGACAAAAACTGGTTCCCTCGACGACAAGTCTACAAGACATGTAGCGATGTGACATGTTATGAATGTCCACCTTACATTAATTCAATTCTCCTAAGTCAAAGAAGTACATAACTGAACATATAATGCAACTATGAATCCATATTTATATAATAATATTTATTTATGAATTTCAATTGAAAATTAAAGGGTTTCATTGACACTTTAAGGCGTCATTGGCGTATCTGGTCACCGCAATATGCGGATTATTCTAATCGTTTACCGCACGCCGCGCCGGGGCGGCGCACACGTCCCACACCCTTATTTTATATACCACCGTGCTCGACAAACTGCGCTATGAACAGTCTGCTGACTCGTCTTGCTAAACTGTATTATTTACGTTTTATTGAACACAAGCGTTTTTGTCAATCTAAGGCAATATTTAAAAAAAGGAATCGTTAACTCGCTTTAGCAATACCAGTGAATAGTCCTATATTTACTTACGCATTTTCAATATATCCATTATTATTTATATTATGTATCTAGATTAACTCATCACAGTAAAAATGGTTTAAATTTAAGTTCAAAGCTATTTTATATTTAAGTAGGTTCATATTTCGGTTTGTAAGAATTTGTACAATTATATACACACAGTCACATTATCTTTCTCTCTAAAACACACACATGGACATACAGACACACATGTGTGTGTTTCACGCACGTACGCACGCACGCACGCACCACGTTTTTGGGGATGATCAGAACCATTAGAAACCGGCTGATTCTTTTGTGGTGTTGTATTATATACTAAATTTTATTCTAGAAAAGCTGTTATTGGCTGTGCTATTCTAAGGTTTACTTTGTATATTTATGATATTGTTAACGCTGTTGGTTTTCAATAAAAAAAAAAAAAAAATTAAAAGAAATCTGCCAAGTTAATGTAAGACGTTTTAAAGCGTTTATGGTGGTCAAAGGGCTAGAACAGGTGATGGAAATTTGTCACAGATCTGACGGTGACAAGCGCCCGATGGCTACTGCGGGCGGCGCGGCGTGTCGTTTCAGATTTTTTTTTTAAATTATTTATTATTTTTTCAGGATTTATATGTTCCGATAAAGTGCATCATCATTAACCCAATTTTTAGGTCCCACTGCTAGGCACGGGTCTCCACCACCCTGGCCCAATGCGGGTTATGGACTTCACGCGTGTTTTCCGAAGGTTGTGAACCTTCATCAACGTGCAGGTTTCACCACGATGTTTTCCTTCACCCAAAAGGTCACGATAAATTTCAAATTAAATTTCGCGCATAAATTCTGAGACTGACTGGATTCGAACCTACGACCCTCTGCTTGAGAGGCAATAGTTCAAACCATTAAGCACCACGGTTACCTATCTATAGGATACAGAACATTGTATCGTGTATCACATTACTTAGACAATATCCGTAGGTGTAACCATGGTGTAACGTATATTTTTTGTAAAAGAGTGATTTTTCAGGTATGTTTTTTTTTCTCAATTTTGGTGACAATTGAAATATTTGTAGAATATCATCTTGAAGCATTATTTAATATTCCAGTGTGGTAACCTGAAATATTCTTTAATATTTCACGATTCGAGTAATTAAATGAAAAAAAATATCACCAAAATTGAGTACAAAAAAAACTTTACTGAAAACCGTTATTTGAAATAATTTTTACCGCTCTCCGGTGACGCACCCTCTCAAGTAAATTCAGGACACGAACAAACAATTTTGTACTGGGACAACTCGGTGTACAACTAACGTCCTTTATTGCTGCGAAAGCTGTTCTTAATTTAGACTTATTTCGTTTCCGCGCTGATTTGAAATTTCTTTGTGCATTAATTAGTAAAATTATTATGGACTGTTAAGTTATTGACTTAAGACTTGATATTTGGCAGTGGGGGTAAACGATGGATGCACGTTACGTCCGACCGGCTAGTCTGGCAATCTTTAGGAGATGTCTATTACGATGGTTAATTAGTATTTTTATTGAGTTTAAATCTGAAAAGATCCTTAAGACTCGTTGACGATTATCGCGTCACGATCATGAGATATTATACTATAGAACAGAGTCACTATTTTACATAGTTTGACCTACCGCCTCTCAAGAAGAGGGTCTCGGGTTCGAGTCTGGGCTTACACCAGATTTTCAGGATTTATGTTGCCAGCATTTGAAATACAGCCCAAGCCCTCCCATTCCGAGGGGATAGATCGGCCTGTGCTCTGCAGTGGTACTATAGTAGAGTTGGCCTTATATATAAGGCCAACTCTTTTTATTTACAAGATACTGATGAATGAATGAAAACGGTACTTTTATTTTTCTCAGGATTTGAACCATACGGGATATTTTAGAGATCAAAAAAGACGTATTGATTTGATTATTGTTGTTGATGACACAGCGCATGAAGATATTGAAAACATTAAAGACGCCTTTTTCGCAAATTGTATTAACGCCGGTCTCGAATTTGAACTAGAAATGGGTGTGGTAAGTTCTTCATTTTAATATTATTTAATACGTCGTGCAAAAGAAAACATTCCAACTCTAAGGGTGGCAAACTAGGGCGTAAATCCAGATTTACCCGACTTAACCGACGATTTAACCGATTTCAAAAAAACTTTTGAGGTTGGATTTTTAAATTCTCTGTACTGAGATTATCTGAGTAGACGCATCATTAAAGTAGATCTATCGGGAAAGTAGACCGATCCGGAAAGTAGACCGATCAGGAAAGTAGACCGATCAGGAAAGTAGACCGATC